TGGGATTTTGGGATTTACTTGGAGTGTGGTTAGGTTTGGTGGCTAAATTAAATTTTTGCTTGAATACATGCAGTTTCGACTTAGGTCAACTGGGTAGTACACCTGCTAGCTGTACAACATTACAGCACTTCAGAGAGAAGTTTTTAATCATACAAGGAACTGTCTGTATCTCACTGTCATCACCTCCCTCTTTCCAAATATATCCTTTGTTTAAGTGGCCTTAGGACCAGCCTGCATAAAGCTTGGCTTTCTCTGATTTGTACCTTAAAAATTAATTTATTTTTGCACTGCATTCTTGTGCATCTAATTTCAAATGGTCTAAATTCAAATTGTTGATGTCTGCAAAAGTATTTCAAGAGCAGCAGATGAAATCTGTCTTCTTACATGGTGCTAGATGGACACAAGCAGCAGCTAAGATAGGCGTATCAGCAGGGCTGTCTCCTGAGCAGTTTTGATCATGTGGAAGTCTGGCAAACAGTGTCAGTATGGCAATTAGTATTCACCATTTTAACTTTCCAAAGATAAAGAATTAAATCTTTGACCCTACTCCCTTTTCCCCTGGAGCCCAGGACTGATCAGTGCTGAAAGTATTCAGCATTCAGGCAGATTTCAACATGATTCAGTCTGTTCCAAAAAAGAGTTGCAGAACTCTTGATCTGGCTTTTTTTTTTTTCCCCTCGTTTTTTAAAATACGTTATATATAATATTTGTTATTTTGAAATATTTCATATATGCTTACTCTCTTCCATTTTCACACAAACCTCAGGAAGACTAGTTAGTAGTTTGTAGAACTACAATAGGAGAAACTGTTAATGCCAGGTTCCATCCTGTCACTAAGTGTGCTTAATGCATAAGGAGATATAGGACTGGGACAACTATGTAGGATTTTATCACAGAGCTGGAGTGTGTGTTGAAATAGCTGACATGCCCATTGTGTCTTACTTGCTGGGCAGCCTACTTGCCTGCGTGCCTTACATGCTACCACCCAGGAATTGCCTCCAAGCCTCTCAGTGCCAAAACTCCCTGGTATGAGGCTGCCCTTCTCCTCTTGTATGTGGGACTGAGCAACACCACATGTGAACGCTAAAAGAGGACAGATTAGGAAGAAAGGATTTCCAAAGATTTTAAACCCTCCAGATTTCATACCACATCAGGCGAACCCCAGAAACCCAGGTAACTCGGAGAAGAACAGTGGCAACATCTAGTGGCCGTTAAAGCTATAGGTCTGTACTGCCTGGGAATATCCTTATTCCTCCTGCATGCCCAGTATTTGCCCTGCTGTGCTCTTTGCTGGACACTTCTTCCATCGGATAAGATTGTTTGGGGGTAGATAGGCCCACTAAGCACCTTACTATTTTCTGCTTTAAAACTACTCTCAGAGTCGCTAGCTGAAGTCAAATTCATCCCTAGCCTGCTGCATAGCTCTTCAGTAATCCTTTGACTTTGCTTTGGGCCAGTAACCTCAGGGCTGGTTTCTGTTCCACCTTTGAAATTCTGTTTGTCTGGCTCCTTCTGACGTGATCTGTTGTGAGAAGAAATGACTCTCACTTGAGAAGACTGTAGAGGTTAACAGAAAATTTAATCAGAACCCTGGACACAGCAACTGTCCCGCAATGTGTCAAACCATCTGGAGTAGCTCATAATCCTACTATGTCAGCTTTATTAGGCAAAGCAAGATGAAGTCCTAATCTGCAGCCTGTGCATCTGTAGACTTACTGGTTTGACAGAAGCTCAGGTTTCGCAAACATTGCTGCCCCTTTGTGTGTTTCCTGTCCGCAAATCAATCAGAAATAGTCCCAAGACCCACCTCCAGACCACTGCATAAGGACCCCCTTCTTGTAACTAATCTGAAAAGCATCCACAAAATGATACCTGGACAAGTGTCTGAAGTCTGCAGTCTAATCCTACATCTGGCCCCAGCATCTCCTGAAGTGCTCAAGAATTACTCTCTGTGGATGATACAAATCTAGGAAAGGCGGCTTTCTAACGCTTGTCCTAAACTGAGCAAAATGAACCTCTTGGAACCCAGAAATTGAGCAGACTTTAACATGAATTGGGTTAGGACTAGGTTTAGACTTGGAGTCTGAGGATACAGTGAGATTTTCTGACTGATTAGGGCTTCTGATCTCTTGGTTATTATTAGGTTGAATTGTTCAATGTGAATATAAATTTGGGTTTACCACAACTTGAAAGCTTTTGTTGATACCAGATTTACAAGCAAAGGGTAGAGTTTGGGTTAGAGCAAGCTGAGGGGCAGGCCAGCTCGGGTGCCCCCTAAATTCTTCACCCTGTCAGTATGTGAGTGTATTATATCCTGTAGTGACAATGTGTTGTGGTTTAAACCCAGTCAGGCAACTCGTTCACTCACTCCCCCCCTTCTTTCCCTCCCCCTACTCCTGGAGGAATGGAGAGGAGAATCGAAAAGAATGCAACTCCCACGGGTTGAGATAAGAACAGTTTAGTAACTAAGGTATAACACAAATCACTACTGCTACCACCAATGATAATAATGATAAAGGAAATAACAAGGGAAGAGAATACAACACCTCACCACCAGCCAACCGATAACTCACCCCCCCAGCCCGACCAAGGACTGATACCTCCTCCAACCCCGCAGTCCCAGCCCTTCTGCGTAACTCCCAGTTACATCCTGGGCATGACGTGCTGTGGTATGGAATACCTCTTTGGTCAGTTTGGGTCAGGTGTCCTGTCTCTGCTTCCTCCCGGCTTCCCCTCCTCCCTGGCAGAGCATGAGGCTCACAAAGTCCTTGGCCAAGCCAAAACATCCTTGTTATCAGCTCTGTTCCCAAGCCAAAAGTCAAAACACAGTGCTGCACCAGCTACCAAGAAGGAGAAAAATGACTGCTACTGCTGAACCCAGGACACAATGTTTTGGATATTGCTGAAGTTTTTACTTGCATGGGGCTTTTTTAATGTATAGGGCGTTAAACTCCTTTTTTTGCCCTGAACATGTATAGCAATATTCTTTATGATTTTGATTGACTCCTTACCATATGGAGAAGGCAGTTTCAATTAAATATCTCTTTTTGTTCTTAGTCAGTGATGTTCTAATTTATTTATGTAATTTTGCAGATGTTAGAACAAAGAATCCAGATTGGTACATAGCTGGTATGAAAACATTTTGGGTTTTCACATCTTGAAATGTTATAACTAGGAACTTCAAATTATAACATTATAACTTCACCTGACTGCAAAGTCAGGTGAAGTTCCCGATGACTGGAAAAAGGGAAATATAACCCCCATTTTCAAGAAGGGGAAAATGGATGACCCAGGGAATTACAGACCAGTCAGTCTCACCTCTGTGCCTGGCAAAATCTTGGAGCAGATTCTCCTGGAAGGCATGCTAAGGCACATGAAAATCAACAAGGTGCTTGGTGACAGCCAGCATGGCTTCACTAAGGGGAAATCCTGCCTGACCAATTTGGTGGCCTTCTATGATGGGGCTACGGAACTGATGGACAGGGGCAGAGCAGTTGATGTCATCTACCTGGACTTGTGCAAAGCGTTCGACACTGTCCCACACAACATCCTTGTCTCTAAATTGGAGAGACATCAATTTGGTGGATGGACCACTCGGTGGATAAAGAACTGGCTGGATGGGCACACATAAAGAGTTGTGGTCAATGGCTCAATGTCTGGCTGGAGACCAGTAACGAGTGGTGTCCCTCAGGGATCGGTGTTGGGACCGGTCTTGTTCAACATCTTTGTCGCTGACATGGACAGTGGGATTGAGTGCGCCCTCAGCAAGTTTGCTGATGACACCAAGCTGTGTGGTTCTGTTGATACGCTGGAGGGAAGGAATGCCATCCAGAGGGACCTTGACACACTTGTGAGGTGGGCTGATGCCAACCTCATGAAGTTTAACCATGCCAAGTGCAAGGTCCTACACCAGGTTCGGAGCAATCCCAGGCACAGCTACAGGTTGGGCAGAGAAGAGATTCAGAGCAGCCCTGCGGAGAAGGGATGTTGGTTGATGATAAAATGAACATGAGCCGACTTCAGTGTGCGCTTGCAGCCCAGAAAGCCAACCGTATCCTGGCCTGCATCAAAAGGAGCGTGACCAGCAGGTCCAAGGAGGTGATCCTGCCCCTCTACTCTGCTCTTGTGGGACCTCACCTGGAGTATTGTGTGCAGTTCTGGTGTCCTCAACATAAAAAGGACATGGAACTGTTGGAACAAGTCCAGAGAAGGGCCACGAGGATGATCAGGGGACTGGAGCACCTCCTGTATGAAGATAGGCTGAGAAAGTTGGGGCTGTTCAGCCTGGAGAAGAGAAGGCTGCATGGAGACCTCATAGCAGCCTTCCAGTATCTGAAGGGGGCCTATAGGGATGCTGGGGAGGGACTCTTCATTAGAGACTGTAGTGATAGGACAAGGGGTAACGGGTTAAAACTTAAACAGGGGAAGTTTAGATTGGATATAAGGAGGAAGTTCTTTACTGTAAGGGTGGTGAGGCACTGGAATAGGTTGCCCAGGGAGGTTGTGAATGCTCCATCCCTGGCAGTGTTCAAGGCCAGGCTGGACAGAGCCTTGGGTGACATGGTTAAGTGTGAAGTGTCCCTGCCTATGGCAGGGGGATTGGAACTAAATGATCTTAAGGTCCTTTCCAACCCTAACTACTCTCTGATTCTATGAAATACAGTTTAAGCCATTGATAAAAATGAAGTAACTAAAATTAGTTCTGAGTTAAAAATTTACATTAAGAAACTCTGTAGGGGCTTGTTGCTACAGATCAAAATCTGCCACTCTTTTGTTTAGGAACATTGAAACATAAGATACTACTTCGATTCAGTAAAGGAATGTTGATAGAAAAAAGAACATGAGTTTCATAACATCTCCACATTAAAACTGCCTTTTTGCAAAGGTTGGGCAACTGTCTTAATATTACTGCACTATCACAAGATAGAATTTATTTATTTATTTATTTACTCAGTGCTTTTTTGGTTGCTGTTGTCGGTCTGGTGTTTTTTTGGTTTTGTTTTCTCCCAAAATTGGTATGTTAAATCTGGTTCTGCTGCTGGTTGTGGCATATTTGTCTTGTGACATGTGGGTGAAGCTGGCCAAGTGGGTTCCAAAGAATAAGACTTGAAATGAGTTGTTACCCCTGCACACCACTGACTCTTGCTCCTTTTCTAGAGCTGTCATGGTCATATTATCAAGGTCATATTATCATTATACCTCTTCCATGTCAGTCCAACCAAGTTTAATCCCTTGAAATGAAAAAGCCAAGTTTACTCCCTTGGCATTGAAAATCAGGTTAACTTCCATGAAGTTTTGTCTCGGACTATAACAGATGTAGCTGTTTTTAAGCCTGCTGCCTTTGGCTAAGCATTCCCAGTATAGCCAGGTGTGTTCCTAAGTGATTGTAACAGGTTTCCTGTGGAAGCAAGACTAAGGATGGCAATCAGTAAAATAATGCTCAGCAGTCTGAATAGACTTTGCACTTGTCATTATAAAACTTGGTCAAAAAATTCTAGCATGGAATTTGAAATCACATTTTTCACTATTTCTTCTAAAACTGTTATGTGTAGGCTGAGTGCTGTGATTAGAAAACTAAATGCTGGGGTCAGGCAATACAAAATCAGACAACATTCCTTCCTTAGTTTCTTCTTTGTCAGAAATGTTTAATTTCTTCATTTGATATTGCTGTATAAGCTGTAGCCTGTTGAAATCCTAACTGTAACTCTGAGGACAGTGTGGGTGCCACAGTAACTTCAGGTTTTCTTCTAGGAAAAAAAAGAAATCCTTTTCAGGGTGGCTTTTCTGGTATCCTACACATTCAGAACTTTGTTGTTGCTGTTGGCTCTTTCCCAAGACCTCAAAACTGTTATTATTGTGTGGCTAACCCTGAAAGTAAAGCCTGTTCATAGTTTAAGGCAGAATCAAGTCAGCACAGCAATAATAAGTGGGTGTTTGAATTACATTATTTCTGTGACTTTTCCATAATACTTTGCCTTTTAGGAGTGGAGGTCTAGAGACTTTCATGAGAATAACAAGCAGTTTGGAAAGGATCTCTAGGAATCTCTTGCATGAGATATACAAAATTAGTAAATGTTCATAGGAAACATTTTGGAAACATTAACCATGAGCAATATATTAGTGCTAAAAGGAAATATTTGCTATTGTCTTTTTTTAGGAGTTGGTGAAAAACCAAATTCTGGTCTAAGACTACAGTCCTTTTCAAACCAGATAGGCTGCACATTCCTAAAATTGTAAATTCCTAGGTTACACAAGATTTATCAGCAATCCAGTGGAAATGAGTCTAAATCATGCTCTACTTATATGAATAACGTTACTGAAGTGACACAAATAACGGAGGCCCTGTATACTCCCATTGGAATCTGTTCTCCCACTGAAATTGAATGGAGATGCTATTTGTCTGAATAGAGAGTCTGATTTTAGGAGTTTGTTAATTCTTTGATAAGAGGGCAACAACAGCTAAACATATGGCAAATCATTTTTATTTTTTTTGCTATCAAATAGTGGATTGGATTGCATGCTGAAAACCTCAGTAAGGTAGGTAAATATAATTCAGAATGTGTTACACTTAATTTATCTCCATGTTACAGTATTTCTTCTGGAAGGGTTATAAAATAGACAAACCAAAGGCACAAGTACCAACCCTGTTGTTGGTTGTCATTTTTTAACACTTAAGTAATAAAGTAATTTATCTTCTGTCTCCTTACAAATGCTTATAACAGAGGGTATATTTTTAGGTAAGGTTATGAGAAAGTGTAACTACACTCTTAACATTTCTTCGCAGCTGGAGAGATGAATCACCAGGAACATGCCAAAACTGGAATGAAGGGAGAGAAAGAGATCAGCAGAAACCAGGGAAAAGATGTGGCTTCATTTCATCACAAACAGGTTTATTTTATATTTCCTTTTGCTGCCAGAGTTGAGACTTGATTCTGTTGTTGGCCAAAGAGGTTATATATTAATTGCTCTCAAGAAGTGCAATCCATACTCAAGTCCTGTTACATGGTTATAATTTGCATAACTGTTTTTATGATTAAGAATAGAGAAATATCATTAATATGCTCAGAGACTAGTTTGTAGGACTTAAAAGTATATTGGTAGTTCCAGCTCTCTAATGTCAAAATACAAAGATTCCAGTGATACTGATACTTTAGTTTTACTTAAGAATCTGTTATGTGGCAGAGCAAAAATGTTAATGCGTTGCTGGTTTTCACAGTTAGTTTTCTCATAACCAAATGAGCCAGATGGACTGAGCAACAATATTTCCTACATTTATAAACTGTTTTTTCTACAAGCATACAACTTCAAATACCCAGGTTTCTAGCTTATTTCTGATCCCATAGCCAATCTGCTGAGGGATTTTGGGGTACTGTGGTTTTGGTGCTAACATTTACATCATCACATAGCTCTATATTTTACTATGGTAATAGTAATAATAGCAACAATAATAGTAATAAATACAGTGCTGGTGGTTCCAGTGATTTCTGTCATCTCACAGTCTCTGAAGATCTGCAAGTCATATGACAAAGTAAACATATCAGGTTCCATGAAAATAAAAAATAACCAGCTTTTTGTTTGTGAGAAAAGCCGAAGAAAACTAATCCAGCTGCACACTTGTGATCTCAGCCTTGAAAACCAAAATGGAAAAAAAAAAAGTAAAACTCTTTTTCTGCACATAATCTTGGGGGTTTGATTCATGACTTTCAAATTCTTGAGTTTGGTGTTACTAGAGTTAGTATTAAAGGAAGAGACGCCCACCCTCGCCCCTCAGCTGAACAGTAGATGGGAGCTGGTCAATAGCTTGTTGAGCGCACTGAAAAATGTCTTTTCCTCCTTAGCAGGTCAGCGTTTTATGTCAGTACCTGGATCTTGCCAAAAATCTTCAATGTAAGGAAGTGAAACTATTTTATCTGGAGGAGGCGTGTGTTATCTGACTCAGTGTAGAGGAATTGGTTTAACACAATAAAATCAAACTGGGGATAAAAGTATGAGCCCTGTAGACCATCAAATCCACAATAATGTGATATGTCCAAAAGTATCTGACGTAGAATGTCATCTTGCTCAACCACTAAAGGATACCCATATTAACAATGTCTAAGCTATCTAAGAAAAAAGCCCTTTCCAGTTCTTAAGCCAATATTGATCTGTGATTTTTCTTTTTACAGAGGACTCTGGGGTAATGCAAACTGTACCGTCTCTCTTCATTGTATTTGTAAAAGTAAATTTGCATGGAAAATAGAGAAAGTGATCCCAAAAGACCAGAATCATCAAGGAGTATGCCCCAAAGGCTGGCTTCGCTTTGGATTCAAAGCAAAACATTTTTTTTCTGCTGTTTGATTTTTCAAAGTGCTTTCCATATTTATGGCAGAAACTGGACTTCTTAAGGATTATTCTATATTTGAAGATTTTCTTCCTTTTTAAAAGCAAAGACCTTAGGTTTTTAACTACTGACACAGTGATACAGAGATTTACAGCAAATTGAGTAGCTTTGCATACAGGTGTCTTAATAAGGTGTCAAAAATTTTACCTCAAGGAAATGCATGCTCAGATATGTGAAAGCTATTTAAGTGTATCTGTGCCTTTGGTGTAAAAAAAAAATGCTTCCTCCTCTCTTTTCCTCTTACGACGATTCCATGAGTCTTTTATCCTCTCAAAACAGATCTCTGACCCCTTGTTGTACTAAATGGATCCTTAACTGATGCCATCCTTGGAGAGATGTTGTTTCAAATAAGGTTCATCGAAAATAATTATAAACCAAAGTCTATTTGCAATTGAACATTAAAAGGCAATTATTTCATCAGGCTTCTTTTAAATACATGCATTCCTTAATAGCAACATGTGTGGACGTGGCCAAATTTATCTCAGTACTGAACTGCAGTGACCACAAGGATAAATTTAACCCAGACTGTGTTTGCATTTAAACAGCTGATTTGAATCCAAGCCTGGTCGCAGCTGAAAACTGATACCAACCATGTTGGAGAGGTCCATTGCAGGACTGCATATTCAGTGAAATGTTTTGGTGATCACTCTTGCTGATTGATAAATAGTTTTTAAACTGGCAAAGAAACAAAACAAGCCCTTTTTTTTCTTTTTTTTTTTTTACAGCTTTTGGATACAAATTCTGAAGGACCCAGAGCTTCTAAAAAACCAGTACATTGCACAAGCATTCTGCAGTACCTATCATAGGTCAGTTCCTCCCTCAAAGATGAATTGCAACAAGGTAGAGTACTGAAAATATTGCTAAATAAATAAAATTTCATCTTCATTAGGATGATAAAGTTTCATCTTGGATAGCAATTTAGGAAAAAATGTTATTCAGATCCTACTTATGGTTCCACTGCTTTAAACAAATTAGTGTTTCTCTTTCCCAGATTCCCAAGATGTAAAGGTTCAAATATTCACTGAGCTATCTGACAGGTACGTTTTGAGGAGTAATTATAATTTCTTTTGTGCTTACTATCATGCATTAGAAATATAAAACCATAATGGAATACCCATTTAAAAATTTGCTATGCAAAAAATCTATGTTATGAATGTACCATCACACTGTTATAAAAGCAACCTTTTTTTCCTTTAATAGTGCTTAAAACCTGCTCTGTAATATAGCACATAAGCATAACGCTAGGCTGGAACTGCCAGAAATAAATGCCAGCACTTTCGGAAATATTTAAAAACCTTATTCATACGAATCTGGGGTTGAATTGCATACATTTGTAAACCCACTTATTTAGAGGTGGGAGGAACCTCACTGGATATCTGTAATTGAAAAATCTTACTTTCAACTAAAACTGAGAAAAGTTTTACCAATGGGATGGTACTCGAAACTAGTAACATAAGTTGTTCCAGCTCCTGTGAACATTTCTGGAAGACTTCTTAGGTAATGCACTAGATCCTAACCCAACTGAAATTAACTTCAGTTAACTGAATTTATAGTTAAATGACCCTGAAATGCTGCTCAAGTTCTTACTTTCTAGTATCTATGCAATGTCATTGTTTAGTAATTAGATTTTTCAGTGCTTTAGTGTTCTGGAAGAGACTTCATCTATCCATAAATGGCTACCAATTGATTCTTTTTTATTCCTGTTTCATTTTCCAGCTTTCATAATAGTGAATCTATTTGGACAGAAAATTAGTGTTTGGATGGTTTCCAGAGTGACAATTATGAAAAATAGGTGAATGAAAATCCTCCAATGTACTCCAACTGGTTTCCAGTTGAAGTAGTGCATGTGAGTATATTTCCAGTTGGTTTAAGGACAGTGGGAAGTTGTTTTATCCATAAAAATGATGACTGCTGCAAAGACAAGGCCTAACTTGTTCCAGCAACTTAGTCTTCTCTATATTTTTTCAACTTCAAAAAAGCTGTGGGCACAGATTTATGGGCATAACTGCAGGTAGTAAAAAAGGCACTATCAAGACAGTTATTTACTTAAATTGGGGTTATAATTACATCCTCTTGCAATTGCTTTTAAGCACCGAAGTTCAAATTATATGGTTAGTATCATATGCTGGGTCTGAGCATATAATAAGGTTATGAATTTTCTTATTCATAAGGAATAAGATTATGAATTTTGCATTTTAATTTATTGTTTTACACCATGTCCATACTGGTCTTAGCATTTAAGTTTATTCAGTGAAAGCTTTTGACTTTTTTATTACGAGCTTATTGTTTCAAATTGTATTTATGGGAGTGTTCATTGTTCTACCTAAATATTTGTAATAATGACCTTCAGATATTTATTTTTCCAAATTTAGTATAATAATTATGCATTGTTTTTACACAATGTCTTTTTTAATATAAGGTTCTATATTGATTGTAGAGACAGTGCTATAACAATGCAAATGTTGAGGAACAACTTCCACTGTGTACGATGGAATCAAATAACCCTAATTTTTATTTTACAGGAAAATGGTACTTTAAAAAAGTCAGAAAAATTTTGGGTTTGTCTGCCAAAAGTCTCAGAGTAAGGTTTAGTTTTGCTTTGCCTCTGTTCTCTTTTCTTACTATATTGAATTCATTGTACATTATTTTCATCTAGGAGCAGCTTATTATAGGTATCTCTAAAACCAGGAACATAAAAGATTTTGAAGATTAATATTCAGACAGACTACATCAACACTGTTTAATAAATCAATTGCTGTGATGTAGAAGTGATTTCAAAAAAAAAAAGGTTACTAAGTTTTCTTTCTAACTTTGAGCTTTCTGTTGCACAACTTAGAATCAGGTATAGAGATGAAATTTCATGTTTTCTGTCATGGCAGCAGAGTAACTGCATGAAATTAAAAAAGGCAAAACTGAGGGTAACTTTGATGAAAATATGATGAGGGGGTGGGACATGTAAAGTTAGATTAGAACAGACTCTATAAAATGCATTTCTGTGAACAGTGCAAACTGACTGGTCGATCAAATAGAGTCTGGCTTTTCTTTTCATATTTGTCTAACTTTGTTCGCATAATTTTTCTTGCTAGAAGCATGAGGCTTTTGTGGGGAGCATGCGTTGTTTAGTTTCTTCAAGTCACATTCCTGTGTTGCATCTGGGATGGGGAGCTGCCAGCTTCCCCGGGGTGCTGGCGCAGCTTTGGAGCCCAGTGGGAAGCTGCCAAAAATACCAAAATAGACCAGTGGCAAATTATTAACCTAAAGCAGGTCAGGGAGGGGAAGGGGGGTCCCGGTAACCTGAATCTGTATGGAGTGCCCTTGGGTGCTGTACTTACTGCAGGAGTGGTTTAATATGGCTCAACTTTATATATCACCTCTTAGTTTTAAGCTCTGGGCCTAAAGAGACAATCTCTCCTGCTGGCTGCCTAGGAGGTAAGGGAGAGTGAGTCAAGAAGTGAAATAAACAAATGCAAGCTTTGGGCAGTGCTCACATGTGGCTCTAGCAAACCATATCCATATTTGACATCATTTATTATGAACTGCAGTTGAGGGGAGTGCTGGAGTAATCCTGCACATAGTGTGGGAAAAAAAAAGAAAGCATTTTCCTGCTGGTTTGTTTTATTTACCTCCTAAATGTTTGTATTTTAACCACTTGCTGCTGCTTTGGGTAGATGGAAAAGGCATTAAAAGTCAGAAAGAATAACCGCTGGCATAGTGCGGCCAGGCTGCAGGGCACTGGTGGGGGGGAATGGGGCTGCAGTGGGTGTTAAGGGCCCTCCCCATGTTTTCCCAACTGGGTGAATGTGAGAGTAGCCCATGGGCCCCAGCCAAAGCATGATGGGGATGGGAGGACACACTGTGCCCCCGGCTCAGTGCTGCCTGCCTGGCCCAGGTGCAGCAGGATGCTCCTGGAGGTGAAGGGGCCAGTCCTGCCTCCGCAGTGGGACAGCCGTGGCACTCTCCCAAACCATCTGCAGCTTGCTAATTTAGCAGAAAACTTTCTCGTCTATTGTTTTTTCTTCCCTTTTATTTCCCCCTCCAGCACAACTAATGTCCTTTTCTACAGTTTTCCAGGATGCATCAGCTCAGTGCAGGGGCAGGCAAACACCAGACCTGTGCATGGGAATACGCAGCTGGAAGAACAGAGAAGCAAGGAAGGAAGAAGTGACATAGCCTCCTGCTGGCAGTAGTGAACTGCTAGATTTGCTCAAATGTCCAAACAAATGTGTCAGTTCCTGGAAAGACGAGCTGGTGCTTTGCTTCTGCCATCCTGTCTGCATCCCATCTTCCCTTTTTTTAATTATTTTCTGCAGGAAACTAAAATGGAATAAACCAGTGGGAGATACAAACTGGGCTCTGATGTATTAGTGATGCTTGAGTTAGGATTGTGTCAACATTTTACCGCATTTCCTGCCTTTTCATTTTTTTAAGCAGTGACATGCACTGTGAAAGCTGGAACAAAATGAAGTGCTTCAGTTAGCTCAAGGGCAGAACTGTTTCTTGCTTGAAAAATCCTTATTTTAGACTCTTTGTGAATGACAAATAATAAATTAACTATTTTAAGATACTTGTTAACACTCCTCCTCTCTTAGTCATAAAGGGAACCAAATCTAAAACCACTCCATAGCAAAGCACCCACTTCAGTTTGTAGTCACAGAGAATTTTTACACACAGAAGTCCAAACTGGCAAACGGGGTTAAAACTGAGGCATTGCTTTACTTTGACAGTCTTGCTTAAAATATATTATGGACATTCATGCACATTAGCAGAAGCATTTGCCTTCTGTAGACAACTGAGAATAGCAACAGCAATCACAGACTGGGCTGGGGTGGAGATGGTCTCTTTCTCCTGATTTTTTTCTCATGAGAGACTCTATTTCTTAAATCCAAAAATTCCACTTCTTCCTTTCATGTCTGGTTGGAGGTTTTTTTTGTTTGGTTTTTTTTTTTTAGATATTGCTGTTAGTTTATCATCAAAAAGAGGTTTAAGTCTTCATGCCTGGAGGATTTCTCTTTAAGCACCAGTACTGTGATCTTCCCTACATTTGCTCCTGGATAGCAAAGTTGAGCTCAGGAAGCTCCCACACCCTTACACTTCAGTTTATCATCCTTTTGGTTGTTCCAGAACAATCATTTGTGAGGCCAGGCTTTGTGCTGTAAACTGATCTTTGTACTTTAAAGGGTGAATGAATACTGCTGCTCATCCTTGCACAAGTGTCAATTAACATATCTTGACAAATTTAAGGGATTTTAGATAACAGATTAGATCATGTTTAATGTAGCCACTTGGAATCCAATTGACATGACTCAAAGAAAGAACAATCTGCTCTTGTATGGGTTTAGATAGATTGTCTTCTCATTATCAATTTTACAGTGAGTATGTGTTAGCTTTATGGGTAATTTTATGATAGTTCTGGATTCTATTTCAGATATTGATGCAATAGACCTTCTGAAAAGCTTTTACTTCTGTACTTTCTTATTTTTTTTTTACAAGGAGTGTCCTGGGTTCAGCAGTAGCAGTCATTTTTTCCCCTTCTTAGTAGCTGGTGCAGTGCTGTGTTTTGACTTTCTGCCTGGGTACAGAGCTGATAACACTCAAAATGTTTGGCCTGGCCAAGGACTTTGTGAGCCTCATGCTCTGCCAGGGAGGAGGGGAATCCAGAAGGAAGCAGAGACAGGACACCTGACCCAAACTGACCAAAGAGGTATTCCATACCACAGCACTTCATGCCCAGGATGTAACAGAGCTCCCTGGAAGGGCTGAGACTGCGGGGTTGGTGCTTGGTCAGGCTGGCGGGGTGAGTTTTCAGTTGGTGGGTGTTGAGGTGTTGTATTCTCTTCCCTTGTTATTTCCCTTATCATTATTCTTATTGCTGGTAGCAGTAGTGATTTGTGTTATACCTTAGTTACTAAACTGTTCTTATCTCAACTCCTGGGAGTTGCATTCTTTTCAGTTCTCCTCTCCGTCCCTCTGGGAGTAGGGGGAAGGCAAGAAGGAGGGGAGTGAGTGAACGAGCTGTCTGTCTGGGTTTAAACCACGACGGGAGTAATTAAACATTTTGAGCTGATATTTTGTGAGGTAACTTTTTCACTGTTAAACCTGTAATTTAAAATGTGTGACATATGGGGAGTAATATGTTTTCCATAAAACACCTATGTGTTTATATTTATAATTATAGCAGTATTTGCTTTATAATACTTTATGTCCTCCCTTTCAGTATCATAACATGGGCTTGTATCTCCGGCTGTTCCCATGACATTGGTGATGCTGGCTGCCATTTCCCTTTTTCTGTGGTGCCTGTAGAAGGAGAATAACCAACTCTTCCACAGGATACTTTGGGTCAGAAACACCTATTTGCCACTGAGTAATGCTGACATTCCTGCTTTGGAAGAAAGCACCCTTTGATTTTTTGATTTCTGATTTCTGAAAATTCCTGATTTTGAGAGAAGTGGCAACAAGTAATTGATCAGAAACATCAAGTGGTCATGTCTTCCATGTGAGTCTCCATGATCTGCAGTAGTTTTCTCCTTCTTGGGAGTCCCCCCATTGGGCACCTATACCCAGAAAATCCCTCGCAGCTATTAGTATGAATGCTGTAGGGGCTCCCTACTTTGGAGAGCTTTTTCTTTGTGGCAGGATGAGGTGAGGATACAGGACAGAACCACTGAGAAATTGTTCCCTTTGGGGCAAGCCAGGAACTGAAAATACTCCCACATCATAAACCTCCAACCACTCACATGGAGCAGTGGTGTCTGAGGGCCCAGAACAGCAGGCATTCTCATGAAACTTTTTACTTTGGAAACATTTGGTCTTTTGTGTTTTGTTTTTATGTGTTGCAGAATTTGCTCATCAGCCAGCATTAAAATTTAGCATCGAATTTAGGAACTCTGAAACATACCCCAAGAATTCTAGGGTTATTTTTCAGACAGTGGATTCTTGCCAGATAGATTTCCAAGAGAGATGAATCCAGGTGTATTTGCAGAGATGAAGTCACTTTTGACTTGAGAGTGCCAGAATTAGTTTGGCCCATGATACCTATTTCATGTTGTAAAGCAAGTTAGTCTATAAGTATAATGGCATATAGGTTTGTCACCCTGAAGTTAACATATTCATTTGAGATGCATCCAGTGTCCTGTTAAAGATTTAACTGGGTGATATCTCTCCTAGCTTATTTCAGAAATGGAATCCCATCAGCCACTTTTAAAGACATTTTGGGGCAATATCTGCTTGTATAAATCTTGCTGAAGTTATGGTAATAAATGGCTTTACTGTTCACCTATATTATTTCTGCAAGCAGTATTGATGTGTGCTCTTCTGAGACTCTGCTCTCAAAAGCTAAGGATGATACGTGGGGAAGCCACACTGCTGTTCCTAAAGTGTTCTATAATCCTAGAAGCTGTTGTAGCAGACCCTGAAAAGGACACTTCTCACTTTAAGTGTTCATAGGAAGGTGCTAATGAAGGAGAGGATAGATAAATTTAGCTGACTAGTTGGTCTGTGGGCTGATGGTTGTGAAGGTCCCAGCTCAGGTCTCAGCACTACCTCAGTGACAGAAGCCCTGGAGGGCAGAGCTTACTCTCCATGGGACCACCCTAACAAGCCTTCCACCCATGTCTCTGAAAATTCCTGGAAGATTTTCAGGGATTCTATTTTTCATTTTTATTGCAGTGTGGAAAAACAAATGGTTGGTCACGATGAGTTACTTCAAAATGGATTTACTGTGCCTTCAGTGGCCTCTGAAAACTGCTGTGCAGGGCTGCTTTTATTGTTGGGTTTGTTGGTTTGTTTGTTTTATGATGACTCAATCTAACAATTTTGCAAGAGCCCGAAAATGGAGGTATGTTCCTCAGAATTAAGCAAGCAGCTAAGGCCAACTGAAATGCTTTTACACTCTATTTGTGCACAGGCACAGGAATGTATGACTGCCTTTTAGCTAGATTTCACATGGCCAATTTTAGAAACAAAAATTGCCTGTTCATGTTATAATTATGTATAGGGCTATTTTAAAAAATTACTTAGTACATAGAATATTTCTGTGCTGGTGTACAGAACCATTCAAAAATGTTGTCAAAGATGCTGCAGAAGGTTTTGATCCCAATAAAATTTTCAACCTACTGTTTACTACAACTTCTATGGGTGTACCTATTGCAAGTTCTTAATATGAGATTTTTCCATCATACAAAATATAAATTGCTTTTCTGGGTATATTTTGCCTAATCGTATAACCCCCTACATTAGTATTGAGTAATGTTTTGAAAGTTTGAGTTTAGTCTTCTAGATTTATCTATGGGGCTGTTTTTATGTGAAGTCCACTATTAGAGTTTGTGGACTGAAACATTTGCATACAATTGCCAGATCATCTGCAGTATATATATATGAACTGTGAGAGCTGCTTTACCACTAAAAGCAGCAGCTTCCCCATGAGAATTTCACCTATTTAAGCTACATTTGGAGGAACTTAAACCAACAAATCTCCCTCATCCCATAAACTGACAAGCGTGTAAATGCTGCCTTTTCACACTACAGCAAACAGAATGGCTTGCAGGATGGGTTTTGTTTGCCAGAGTTACCTGGTTTTGTCTCTGATGATGTGTATTTGTCAGGCTACAGTGTTGTTACTAGTTATGCAGAATCTTGTCAGATTTGATGTCCTGAATGAAAGTGTATATTTTTCTTACAAAATTTGATATAGGCAATTTCCCTTGAGGTATGTTGTAATATGTTTGAAGGGCAGTGGTATAATATACAAGGTGAAGATACATGGACTGCAGCACTGTAGCTTCCATTGGTTGCACTGAAGTGCTTTCCATGTCGAAGAACTTCACCAGAGCCTGAGCAGGCAAATGAATATTGCACTTTCTTCTGCCATGCAGCTTCTTTGATGGTGTTTACTGAAAGGGAAGTGTTAGATGTTTCCATACCACTCCCTTGCTTGGGGGATGGAAGGGTATCCCCACCAGAGATGGATAAATTCAGGCCAATGTATGACAAACCTTTTCTACCAGATGTTAAGGTTTGGAAAAAAATCAATGTGCTTATTTTTGCAGATTCCATTTCAGGAGAAAATTTACCTCCTGGTCCCCTTAGCAGTACTTGCATCATGTCTCTGAGGGAAAGAGATGCCTCATGCAGCTGTCACATTCCACCTGGATGGGAGTCCGCAATGGGAACATAAGTATGCCTGAGATGTCCAGCATGATCGGGCAGAGTGAGGGGTTGTGGCACGAGATTGTAAGTGGGGCAACATGACTCCTAAGAAAAGCCCTTTCCAGCTGTGTCTCTACTTGGTGCAGTGCTGCCCTTCTTTGTGCAGGGATCCTCCTTGCTTCTGCTTGCCTCCTCCCTTCCTCTACCTTCACACACGCACACACTTTTATGGCTGGGTCACGACAAGAGAGGAGCAGTGGGGCTACTTGAAATCTGTGCAGTGCAGTCTAGAGGGAGTGCAGAGAAAAGATGGGGTTTTGCACACTCTCTGGGACTTGGGCAGCTCTGATTCCCAGGGCACCATTGTACAAATTCTTGTTTGATTTAGCTCCCTGCTGTTTTCTTTCATCATGTTGCTCCTTCCTTAGTGCAGTAACAGGAATCCCCAGTCTTTTGTAATAATAAACTCTTCCTCCAGGGCATTTATACATAAGCAGAATGTTTTGGATAAAAGCTGAATTGCATACATTCAGCAATGGGGCTCTAACTCCACAGCTTAAAAAAAAAAAAAAAGAAAAAAAAAAAAAGGGGGACTTTTCTTGAGCTATAATAATTTACAATATTTCCATTGGTAATGTGTTGGTTTTAAATCCCCTCAGACCAGCACTGATCTATTACAATCTGATGCAGCCCTAAGTAACCGTCAGAAGCAAATTCACAGCTTTACAATGTTCTGAAATGGTATGAGCTAAGGTTGGAAACACTTGGGGCTTGGAAACACAGTCTCGCTTTGGCCAGTAGATGGTAGTGGAACACACAGAGCTGATACAATGGGCTGTGCACCAGTTAAAAACCGGGGATCTTCTCCGGTTCCTTTAGAAGTTG